ATGCTAATGTATGCTAAGGCCGCTCAACCGCTCACTATGACGTGCACTGACCACCTGGGGGCAGACATTCGATCAGTCAATCAATTGCTATGGTGTGCACTGACCACCGGGGGCAGACACTCTGCCCAGTAGGTTAGCTTGCTGCTGGAGTCTGGCCAATCAGAACTGAGTGAGATGGGCCGGACACACCGTGGAGCCCTCCTGCAGTACCCAGCTGGCCAACCTCCCACGTCCCTCCCTTCCCCTGCCCCGATTGTGAACTGGTGGGGTCCCTTGGCCTGGCCTGCACCCTCTCGCAATCTGGGACCGTTTCGGGGATGTCGGAGAGCTGGTTTCAGCCTGATGGCGGAATGACCGGTCACTATGACGTGCACTGACCACCAAGGGGCAGATGCTCAATGCAGGAGCTGCCCCCTTGTGGTCAGTGCACTCCCACAGGGGCAGTGCTGCTCAGCCAGAAGCTGGGCTCATGACTGGCAAGCGCAACTGCAGTGGCGGGAGCCTCTCCCGCCTCCGTGGCAGCGCTAAGGATGTCTGACTGCCGGGGGCGGGCGAGGGGAGCAGGTTTAAGCCGTCGGTCAGACTTACCCTGAGGGCTCCCGGACTGCGAGAGGGTGCAGGCCAGGCTGAGGGGCACCTCTTGAGTGCATGAATTTCGTGCACCGGGCCTCTAGTATATATATGAAAAGCTAAAGTGTCTGGAACATAGCAGGTGTTCAACAAATAATGGTTAAAATCATTATCATCATTTTTATTATAATTAGATATTCCTTGAACAACATTTCAAGTTTTTGCTTTAGTTATCATGTCTCCTTTAGGATACCCGATGTCAAATATTTGCTTTAATTATAATGAAATTAGATGACTTTTGTTTAGTGTTAGGTTTATTTTACTTTATATGCTTGTGAAAGATACAGACAAAAGTGCATGTAATTTGAAACTTTTAATAATGATATTAATAATAGTAAGTAGCAGCTGCCGTACCACTGTCTTGCTAATGAGATAGAACTTCACTGATAGCTCTGAAACCCCTACATGATTATCTCCAACCAAATCCTTGCCTCTCTGAGGTCCCATTTTGTTCTTGATAGTTACCACCTTTATTCTTAAAAAATATATATTTTTGTCTTTGTATGCTTTTGAGCTTCCTATAAAAGGAATCATACTGTATGCATACTGTACATGCAGGCACATGTGGTGTGCTTCTCTGTCTCAACATTAGGTTTTTAAGACTCATTCCTGATGATGAATAAACTTACAATATGTTCTTTTTCACTGCATTAGAGTATTCCATTGTATGAGACAAATATACACTATTTGTTTATCCTTTTGCCTGTTTATGGATGTTTGAGGTCATTTCTAGGTTTTATTTATGATGTTTTAATTTATTTTGTGCTATTTTGAATGTGACTGCTATTAATACTCTTGTGTTAGGTTGAACAGTGTAAAATAGCCATTTTTACAGGTGAAAATAGTACAAACTTAGAAATTTCATATGATTCCACCCAATTGGTGCATATGTTTTGCAAGAGTATATCTGAAGAATATACCTAGATGTGGCAGAAATGCTAGTTCATAGGGCACATGCATCTTCAACTTTGAAAATGATACCTAATTGTGTTATGAAGACACTAGAGGCCCGATGCACGAAATTCATGCAAGAGTAGGCCTTTCTTCCCCCAGCTGCCGGCACTGGCTTCTCTCTGGCACCCAGGACCCGGGCTTCCCTCAGGCCGCTGGTAGGCATCTGGGTCCCAGGCTTCCCTCGCAGCCCTGGCTTTGTCTGGAAGGTCATCTGGAAGGATGTCCAGATGGATGTCCAGTCTAATTAGCATATTACACTTTTATTATTATAGATTGTACCAATTTGTGCCCACTATCTGAAAACCGCCATTGTCCTGCCCCCTGTCAACACTTGATGAAGACTTTTTCTTTTGGTGGGTGTGAAATGAGGTTTTAATTTGCAGCTGTGTAACTACCAATGAAATTACACATTGGGTGCTGGCCATTTTTGTTTCCTCTGTACAACAATGTGAAAGTGACTTTGGACCTGGGTAACGGGTAGAGGCTGGATAGCTTTGAGGTACATGCCAGAAAAAGCCTACACACCCTTGAAGGACCTATAAGTAGAAATATGGATGTTAAAGGTGATGGTGCTGAGGCTGAGGAAGAAAAGGAGAGCTGTAGAGAAAGGGTCTATCAACTTAGAGAAAACACACATTGTCACGCGCAGAATGTTGGTAGAAATGTGAATGTTAAAGCTGGGTCTGGTGAGATCTCAGAAATGAGGAACATGTTATTGGAATCTGGAGGAAAGGCAGTCCTTGAATAAAGTGGCAGAGAGCTTGGCTGAATTGTGTGTAGTGTTTCGTGGACGGTAGAACTTGTGAGAGATGAAATTGGATATTTGGCTGAAGAGATTTCTAAGTAAAGTGTTGAAGACATGGTCTGGTTTCTCCTTGCCGCTTATAGTTAAATGTGAGAGCAGAGAGATAAATTGAAGAAGCAGTTGTTCAGCAAAAGCAACCAGAACACGCAGATTTGGAAAGTTCTTAGTCTGTCCATGTTGCAAAAATGAGAACATCAAGGGTGTGGCTGGACAGCCAACTTGCTAAAGGGATGACATGGATGACTGAGGGATCCAATCGACTATTTCAGCAAAAACCAGGGATGGAGATTCAGTATCCAGGAAAGATGCTCAGAGGACCCTCTGGCCTGGTGGCTTGGCCCCCGTGAATTGCATTGGATGCCAACAAAGCTTTTGAGAACTGGTATGAACAGAAACACTGCCAGCTTAGACTCAACAGACACAGGATGAAGTGAAGGCAGGCTGTTGGACTTCTGAGATTCTACAGGATGAGCCCATAGAGCCATCTAGCTACAAACGTGTTCTTTTTTCAAGAAAAGAGAAGAATGGTCCAACAGGCAATTCAGAGGTCTGCAGGGCTGCCACTGTCCCCATGGTCTGGGTGGGTGGAGCTCTCTCCTCCTCAGTAACAGTGGGCGGGGCCATCTCCTAGATTTCAGCAGGCCAAGCACTGTGGCTGCACCCAGGGCCAAGGGTGGGCTCAGAAGGCAGGGCCACTTGGTGGGCACGAAGATAGAGCATGGAGCCAAAGAGGATTTGTGCTGCTTTCAGATTTGTGCTGCTTTCAGACTTGCTTGAGACCCAGTACCCCTTTCTTCTTTCCAATGTCTCCCATCTAGAATGGGAGTACCTATTGTTATTTTGGAAGCAGATAACTTCTTATCTGGTTTCATTAGAAATGTACCTTATCACTGGAAAAGAATTTTCCATGAAAAAGAATTTTCCTTGAATGAATCATAGCTCAAGTCTCACATATACTTAATTTAGATGATATTTAGATGAGATCTTGGACTTCGAATTGATGCTGGAATAGGTTAAGACTTTAGTGGATCTTGGGACGGGGTGAATATATTTTGCATGTGAGAAAGATATGGATTTAGAGTGGGGGGCAAAACACAGATGGTATGGGCCAGGTTAGATCACCCCAAAATCTGTATGTTGAAGTCCTAACCCTACCTCAGATTGAGACTGTATTTGGAGATAGGATATTTAAGAGACAATTCCGTTAAAATGAGGTTGTTAGGGTTGACGCTAATCCAATATGACTGAGACCCCTAAAAAGAGATATTTAGACACATGTATAGAGAGAAGACCCGATGAGGACACAGGGAGGAGACAGATATCTGTAAGCCAAGGAGAGAAGCCTCACAAGAAATGAATTCTGCCAACATCTTGATCTAACACGTCTAGCCTTCGGAACTGTGAGAAAATAAATTTCTCTAGTTCCAGCCACCTAGTCTGTGGTCCTCTGTTATAACAACCCTAGCAAACCCATACACCTACCTACATGCCAGTACCACTCGGTCTTGATTAATGTAGCTTTAAGGTAAAAACATCCAGTATTGAGTAGAGGTCATGAGAGTAGACATTCTCTCCTTTTTCCTGATCTTAGGGGAAAGCCTTCAGTCTTTTATCATTGAGTATGATGTCAATTGTAGCTTTTTATTGTTTTTATTTTTTTAATGACCTTTATATGATTGAGGAAGTTTCCTTTAGTTTATGTTTGCATAGGATTTCTATCATGAATGGGTATTGAATTTTGTCAAATGCTTTTTCTGCATCTCTTGAAATGATTATATTAGTTTCCCCTTTTATTCTGTCAATGTGCTGAATGACACGATTGATTTTTACATGTTGAACCAACCTTGCATCACTTAGATAAAGCCCACTTGGTCATGGCATATAATAATTCTTTTGAAATCTTGCTGAATTGGTCCACTAATATTTTGCTGAAGATGTTTGCATTTCTGTTTATGCTGGCCTTCAGTTCTGGGCTATTTGCTAGAATTACTTATTTGATTTCATCCCTGGGTGCAGCCATTCATTAGATATGTAGTTTCCGTAATTATTAGCTATGCACTGCTGGTAGGTGTTTCTTTGAAATACTGTCTTTTCTACTGCTGGAAAATGGCTAAATAAGATTTTAGTATATATATTTTTCCTTTTGCAGAAGAGAGTTTATTGATTTCTAGTTTATATTTTATAGTCATGTGATGAAAAGTTTAAGGATATACAGTGTAAATAGGACATTTTTTAAGTATTATAGTTTATTTTATTTTGCAATCGCATATGGTACTTAGAGTGTAAAACTTCAAACCATAAAATTTAGATTTTGGGGATATTACCTTCATAGAAATCCACACCAGGTCTCATGTATCTTCACTTTGTTGAGGAGAATCACTTGTTTATTTCTAATTAAGTCAGGATGAGTGAAACCAGCAGATGATCATTTCCTTTTCTCTGCAGGCTCGCTGAAGTCATCGGTAAATGTTTGCTGAGTATGAGAGCGCAGCAAGATACTACCTTATATAAACACTGCATTTAATTTTGTTTAATCACAAACTTGGTAGACTTTATCCATCGATCATTTTTCTCTTCCCCTCAATTTGTGGTCTCTCCTTGGTTTTTTCAGGTCTTGTTTTCTCGGCCGCGTTTGGCATTGAATCATGGGGAGGAAGCTGGACCTGTCCAGTCTGACGGATGATGAAACCGAGCATGTCCTCCAGGTGGTCCAGCGAGACTTCAATCTTCGGAAAAAAGAAGAAGAACGGCTTAGGTGAGATGCCTCTGTTGCCTCTTGGGTGCCATGAACCGTATGTGGACGAGTGAAAACAGGTTTCCCGAGAATTTTCCTTGCTGCCAGCTCTAAGCTCAGAAGTCTCTATGTCACGTCCACACACGCTTACGTGTGTTCAAGAAGAATACCCTTCCTTTGTCAAAAAGGCTTGTCAGCCTCAGTGCTGGGCATCACAATGTCAGTTAAGACAGGTGACTGTTCATATTCTCAAGCAAGGTTTGGTTTGGGCTACTCGCCCTGTCAGTCATTAGCTGTAGAAGGGGTGGGGTTGTGATGACAGTGGCTGTTGAGCTTGCTCCTGGCTGTAGTTTTCCTGTTGGCTGGTACTATTGGAACATAACCAGGGGACTGTGAACAGTTCTTGGGAGAACAGTAGTCATCCCTCTGCAGTCTTCTGTGAGAAAGCTCCCCTCCCGTGGGAGACCTGGTGCAAAAGTGACTGTCCGGTTGGGGGTGGGATCATCTGGCCCCGAATCCTCTTCCTCATGTCATAGAGGGGGAAACTGAGGCCCAGAGGGGTGGGGTCTTCTGACTCCTGTAGTTGATATGCCCTTGTGGAAAAAGTGTTGCCGCTCAGTTGGGTGGAGTGAAAAAGTCCGAGTGATAGAAATGAGGCCACGTGTTGGGCCTCGCGTGTTAGAACCAGATGGCAAGTCCGCATCAGCTCCCCTCCTCCGTAAATCTGTCCTCCCATGAGAGCCCATGGTTTGGTCACGGCACCATCTTCTTCCTAAGGCACTGAGCTCCAAACCTCAGTCTTTAAAAAAAATTTTTTTCAATTACAATTAACATACCATATTATATTAGTTTCAGGTAAACAACACAGTGATAAGTTATGAAGTGATCACAAACCTCAGTCTTTTTTCAAATATGTTTTTACTGATTTCAGAGAGGAAGGGAGAGGGAGAGAGAAATAGAAACATCAATGATGAGAGAGAATCATTGATCGGCTGTCTCCTCTGTGCTCCCAACTGGGGATCAAGCCTGCAACCTGGGCATGTGCCCTTGACCGGAATCAAACCCGGGACCCTTCAGTCCGCAGGCCGATGCTCTATCTACTGAGCCAAATCGGCTAGGGCTGTATTGAGATGTTTAACATTTATTTGCATAGAATAATTTAGAGCAGTGATTCTCAACTCTGGCTTCACATTACTGTCACCTGGGCAAGTCCGAAAAATCCCGATGCGTAGGCCAGTGAAGTCAGAATCCCAGGGAATATTTTTTTATAGCTCTGACAGTGATCATTGTATGTCACCAAGATTGAGAATCACTGATTTAGAGCAATGTCACCCAAACTTTAAAGTACATGTGAATCACCTGGGGATCTTGTAAAATGCAGATTCTGACTCAGTGGGTCTGGGGTGGGGCCTGAGAGCGTCAATTTCTAGTAATGCTCCCAGGTTGAAACTGCTGCTGGTCTGTGGACCACATTTGAGTCCCCGAGATTTAGAGGAGTTTCTCTTGTACGTTTATCTCCTTTGCCCTGGGCTTGCATTCCCCTTCTCATTGCTGATGGTCTACTAGTACAGTTGTTCTTTTCTCTTTCTTTCTTGGAATATTTTTGTCAAATATTTTGGGGGGTATTTTATTCTTTTTTTTTAAAGCAAACAGGCTAGCTAGATTTTACTTTAATTTGCTAATTCTACCCTTTCCTTTCTGCTTTCTGAACCATTAATTTCTGCGTTTATTTTTATCATCCCTTCCTCTTATTACACTGTTTACTTTTCTTACTCATTTCCCCCCTGGCTTTTGAATTGCTAGTTTAATTCTATCTATGCTTACTTGTTTAATGATGAAAAAATTGAAATGCAAGACTTTTCCTTCTATAGGCCTGGCTGCATGTCACAGAACACTGCCTCTAACAACACTTTCTAAACAGTGAGTGTGTAACTGCAGAGTTATTCGGGGGAGAACTTCTTTTGTTAACACTTTTGTGATTAAGTTTTAGTTGTTTGTGATCCAAGAAAGTAAAGTTACCATTTAGATAGCTTAATAAGTTTTAAGAGCTATGTTGGCCTAATATGACTAAATTCTTAAGTGTTTCATGAAATTTGGGTGCGGGGGAGGGAGAAGGGGCCAAGAGGGAATATATCCTCCGTAGATTACACAATGCCATTTATTTCCATTTTGTCTTATTTGTGGGGTCACAGACATCAGACACCCCAGTTTGTAGTTAAGCCTGAGCAGGTGCTCAGGGCCTGCTGGCCTCTGCTCTGTGTAGTTCCCACATTCTATGAGGAGCTGTAGGAGGGCAAGATTGCCTGATAACCCTTCCGTGGCTACCTGGGGTTGCGAGAAGCAGCAACAACACATTAAAAGTTCAGGGTCACACAGTGACGGACAGTCCATATAAAAATGAGCATCTCTCTCTTCCTGTTTAAAAGAAAAAATAAACGCTCGACCAAACAATACGTCTTCCAAGTGTATGTACAACCGCATTATTTTACGGTAAAGTCTAGGGAAAAGGATATAAACTTTTGCTGAACCCTTAGTATTCATCCAACAATAACACACAAGCAATTAAGACACTTAGGAATGTTTTTTTAGGCTCCATTTACAAATGATTCTCTTAGGTTTTATAATGACATGGTTCAATTGACAACGAAAGGTCTCCCCCTTAATCCTGTCTTTTAGTTACTCAATTCCTCCCCACAGTCTAAGCTACATGGTTCACATGTATGTATCCTTCCAGAGATACTTCATGCATATATAGAATCTCTCTCCCTTGCTCCTCCTCCTCCCTTGCTCCTCCTCCCCTCTCTCTTTATGTATGTATGTATATGTATATATGTATATATATATACACACACACACACATATATATATATATATATATATGTGTGTGTGTGTGTGTGTATAAATTTAATTTTCATCCCTTTTTAATAAAATGGTATCATCCCATTGGCCCGAACCTTATTTGTAACACATCTTGGAGGTCTTTGCACAGCAGTATTGAGTGCTTCCCCATTCTTTTTCATAACCACATAGCATTCCGTTGCCCAGGTGGACTATATGTTCCCAATAACTTATTGGTGTATAATTTAAACACTGTTACAGTTATAACCTCAAACACATTTCATTTCAAATGAAGTTTATTTGTCAGATAATTCTTAGAGATAATGAAATCGCTAAGCGATAGGCTGTACACATCTGTAATTTTGATAGCTATAGCTGCATGGCTCTCCATAAAGGAAATAATTTATATTCCCACCCAGTCATGTAACTACAGCATAATTTTCAATAGTTCCAAAGAACACTACATGGTCCTTTCAAGTTCCTGTCTCCAATTTCTTTTTTGTGTGGTCTTGCCGGACTGTTTAGGATGGGAGTGTGAATAGTCGGATGGGCCCTGGTTTATGTCCTAACCCATCCTGGTGCCTCTGTGTTTTCCCTAAAACACAAAACACACACTATTGCTATAAAGCTTCACAAATTCAGGACATGCTGAAACGGTCAGGGTCTAGGGTCCATTACATTTGAGGGTCTCTACAAAGCCCGTCTACTTGCTCACCTGCCAGCTAGCAGACAGCTGGTAAACCCTCAGTCCTATAAATCAACATTAATGAGAATTGATTCAACAGTTTCCAAGGACCTTATCTTATTGCTCATACAAGAAATCCCATCGGCACTTTCCCACACTGCCTAGATATTAAATAAGGCTTATGATGATTAAGTACCAGAAAAGTTAATTAAGAGGTAATTCCAGGGGAATGTACTGATCTCATAGGACAGTGGTCTTCTACTGGATAACTCAACAAAGGCGGAGTTATCAAACCCCAAGCACTAGGCAGAGGCCCCGCACCCAGCAGAGCTGTGCTGCCCCAGCCCAGCCCAGGTCACCGGGAGCTTCCTCCCAGCACGGGGGGGGGGGGGGGGGGGCTCTTACTTCCACGTGAGCCTCAGGATCAGCTCTAAAAACAGGACCTCTGCGTGGCAAAAAGGACTTGAAACAATGGTGAGGTGGCTGCCACTTGTCTTTCCTCATTGGATGGGGCCACCATCAAGCTTTAATAATATTAAACTAAAGGGTAGGGCTTATAAAAATGTAAAACAAATGAGAATGTTGTCACAGATTAGGGTCGGCCATCAGAGCAATTTATGCCAAAAATTTAATGAGATACAGCTCATCAGAATGTTCGAGAGAAAATTTCTAGAGCATGAAGACATGGTCTCAGTCACGGTGCCCTAGACGGTCTATAGAGCACAAGAGTCCAAGTCATCAGAACTGAAAGTCTGCTCAGGTGAGCATGTCAACATCATGCTCACAGAGCTGTTCCAGACCAAACTAGTATCTCGTTTAATTTTCAAAACCCCACTGACCCCTGTTGATGAAGTTAGCATATCTCAAATACAGGGGAAACTTGCTACTTCCTGTTTCTATAAAATCCACAAATCTGAAAAGTTAGGCCTAAATGATCAATCCTAATTCCTAGGAGGCAGGTAAAACGCAGGGTTTCAGCGGGGTTCGTAGAACAAATGTTTATTCCAGCGCAGCGTCCAGCACTTACTGTTTCTGGTTAGTGGTGGTCCTTGGTGCCTTCCATGCCTGACACATGATGACCAGGTGACCACTTAGTAAATAAATGTTTAACCACTGGGTTATACACCTGAAGCGAATAGAATATTGTATGTCAACTGCAACTAAAAAATATTTTTTAAAAAAATCCAGTGACGTGGCTCTCTTGTCATCCTGACCCGCACTTAACACACATTTCCTATTCTGTACAGAGAGGTATAAATCCACAGGGCTGCTAGCATGGTTACGCGGCACGTGGAACTCGGCTCTGTTTGCTTACTCGGTGACAAACAGAGCCCTTGCCAGCAGCACTTGCCATAAAGAACTCAACACAGGGCGTGTTCACTTGGCTGCTGCCCACAGGTTTCGGAAGGAGCAAACATTGCATCAGGGAGCAAACTGGACGGGTGACTGGCGGGCCCCTCTGGAAACCAACGCAGTAGTGTCTCCTTAGCCTGGAAAA